AAGCCATTTGACATGGGGCCATTCATTCAGAATATTGTTTAGGACAGGCAAGTCATGAATTAAAATGTGYGGATAATTTGCATTGCCAGTAATGTCAGTATGGGTGGGCGTTAGAAAACATTGGCATAGACATAGCTTCAGGAATATGATGTAGCATGTGGATTAGAAATATTCCACTGAGTTTTTGAGCATTTTTTCCCTGTTAACTTGGTAAGAGATGTAATGAGGTTGTAACTGCAATTGTTCTTTTTATGTTACAGTTTTGTCATGCCCTACATTGAGATGTATGACTGTAATACAAGCATATAATGCCATGTAATGCAGTTTTCCTTATTGTATTTGAAACTTATTTTTCAATCAGTCTACAAGTATTTACATAAARCCAAAATATGTCCTCAGTATCAAGACTTTTACTGAAAAACTGTGTGATGAAATAAGGCTTTTAGCATCCTTTTTAATTTAAAATATTTACTAGTTCTTTTTTTAAAAAAATCTATCTTGACTTTAGTGAGTATCATGCAATCATTTTTGTTCTCTATTAAAAGTAATATATAACACTATTATGCAGGATTTTAAAATCTCCAACTGATCATATTTTGCTTCCCCAAGTTCACAGCAGGCAGGTTTCATACTACTATTTTTTTTGTTCACATGCTATGCACAATTTTTCTGAATATGAAATAWGTAGCCTTTAATAGATTATAAGAATATTGTTGTAAGTTGTTCTATGTCAGGACACCATTTAAACTGTAGAAAGCTATATTAAACACAACTTTCCGTCAACTGAATTTCCTGAGCATTGATGTTAGAAGTCTTGTATCTAAATGATAGTAACTTTTTGGCTCTAGGTTTTGTGAATATGGTTTTGAAATGCTTTTGATTAATAGCGATGTTCAAGAAATTAATATCTGTGAAAACKGAATTCTAATAGATCTGAAGGACCTTTAAAAATTCAATATTGAACAAGGGAAAGAAAAGATTTAAAYATCATGGAATCTGGACACTGCGGCTCTCATAGTGTACATTCAATGTGATCTCTGCCTAACCTGTGCCTGGAAATATCTGCTAGCACTAAGGTCAAAACTGTTATGGTAAATGTCTTATCACCTGAATATTTAAAAATGTTAATTATAAATTCAAAGTTATTGCTTTTATTTTCATCTTGCATAGTGATTGTTATAATAGACGTGAATGACAAATTTTGACTGTTTAMAGTGACCAAACAGTAGAAACTTGTCTCAACTATTTCCAGTATATACAGCAAATTAATAAGTTCTATCTTTGTCCAGTGATTTTTAATGTCTGATTTCTTTTTATCTTGCTACTGCCGGAAGGTGCGCCTTGCTACAGTAGGTGGACAAATAGTGCATCTCTGGAAATGTAAGCTCTCTTCTTAACAAGAATCCATGCAGAAGTGCTTTCCATGAGTAGTTTTCGTTTAACCTTCTATGTATTTATTTATACTAAATTTTTTAGAAATGTATTTGAACCAATGTATGTGTCTAAATACATTATTTATTTCAAATATATTGTCAAAAGCACAMAACAAATTTTTGTGTGTCTAGCATTTTAGGAAAAGTCTGTTCATAGCTATATGGTTTTCTGTGTGTTCTGTTGTTATAGGAACACAGGTGGCCAATGTCACTAAGCCATTCTCCTGGCTGTTTGGGCAACGATATCAAATACTGTCTCCAGAAAAAGATCAAATTCCTGCTTATGCCTGGTCATGGTTTCTTGCTCTCACATCTACATATGTGAATTCCAAAACTCTGGTGGTTCAAGGTTTTAATGTCAAATAACAGTAAATKGTACTTACTTGGTCAGTTTAATCTTGACTTCTGACTTTTCTTAATCTTTCTTCTGACTCTTACTTAAAGTAAATAACTATTTGCTTTATAGCCATTATTGTACGGAACTAAGGAAGTCCAGTTTTTCCATAGCTGTGCTCCAAGTTGCATGCTAACCTGCAGCAGTTTGCAGCCACATAATTGTGAATTCACTTGCAAGATGCACTGCCTTTTTCAAACCACACACATCAACAGAGACAGGCTGAAAATGCACTTCTTTGATTTCACCCCTATAATASAGGGTTTGAGGGGGGTGAGGTTAACAATCCCAAATCAGGGCAGTGGAATGGATGTGGTACCAAATCACCAAGGCATGCAAGTTTTCAATCAGTGTGTGAAGCGGTATAGGGTGTTCAAGAGTTTGGTTTTAACACAAATGAATTTCAGCTGGCTTAAAATAAAAAAAAACTGAGGAATTAGTGTGACCTTTGACCTTGATAGTGCCTAGCTAATTTTACACTTTGGTTTGAAGATAAGCAGTCTTTCACTCTCATGAGAATGCCAGGAGCAGAACGTATAACTCAAGTGTTAGAGTTAGTTCTTTAGGTACACATTTACTAAAGTGAAAGCCAGGGCTGTGAGTAAATCTGTGTGCTTTCTGACCCTGGCCTAGTGAAGTTCAGTGTTTCTGAATGAAATTCACAACAGCCAATTTGCAGGGAACTGCTTCCTACACATCTGYTGACACTGGACTTGCACTTAGGCATAGTAATGCTACATGGAGGAGTTCCTCCTTGATCGAAGAATACATACAGTAAAGGTGCCACCTGATTTAGGAAGAAGCTGAAATAACGATTTTGAGACAGTAATACTGGATTTAGACAAAATATGTGTGTCCAAGAACTATTTTTTTTAATTGTCTCTAGCTGCTCAGCATTATTTGTAGCGTGGCTGGGACCAAAGTGTTCTCATTATTAAGGAAATGCTACTAATCACTAGCGTGAGATTTTGTGATTTTTCCAGTGAATCTTGGCATCATCCCTGAAAAGGAGATGAAACAAGAACTACACACATAAACTAAACACTGTTTAAGGCACTTWCCTGATGCCATTTTTCATTGTTACAAGACTTTTCAGACTGAAGGGAAAGGCTGGTCATTCAAGTTGAGTATTCCACTCATTAGTCTATGTCTAGAAATTCACAGTTGCTGTTATTTTAAGGGGGAAAAAAGGTACAGCTGTCTTCAGCTTTACTCTGTTCTATCCCTACACAACAATTCCAGTTTGTAGGCAGCAATTTATGGGACATGCTGACGTGCAAGCCTCAGTTAGTTACTGAGCTTCAAAGTGGTAGAAGAGTTTGGACAAATCCAAGAGCTACTGTTTGTTAATATCTAGCTTGCAGCAGTTTCTTGCTTAAACTGCAGTTGTGAGTCTCTTTCTAAGGCAATTCTGCTCTGTCGCAGGGACACTACAAGGAACTGGGGAATTTTGCTGGATTTTGCTTTGAGACCTCAGTTTATAAGTGTTCCTCATGTCTGTTATATAGTCTAGTTCACCACATCTWATTCATCCTCACATTTTGGGGTGAAGGCTGCTGAATTGCAAAGTAGTTAAAATTTGGTTGTTGGAGTATTTGAGAAGCTTACTTTAAGCACCTAATTTCTGTTTGACTTTTAAAAAATCCAATCTATTGGCTGCTATGCTATGCTTCATCTCTGATTATAGGACAATATGTTTTCTTTTACTTATAAGTGTTGATTTTTAAACACAGAATATTTTTCCTGCTGTCCCTAGATTAAATGTAAACAGAAAGGTCTGTGGTACAGCTGGTAGTTTGTATATTGGCACAGGTAGCATCAGCCTGYAAATATGTGTTCAGAATCAATAAGCATAAACATTTAAGTAGAATGGGATGTTTAAGAGTGCACATACCGGTGATATTTTAATTATACATGACACGTTTATTACATGTAATTATAAAGATGTGTTCATAACCAGTCTTTGGCCTCCTGTGATTCAGGAACACTGTGCTGCTGCATAGTCAAGGTCAAGCTATTTTCCATAGTGTAAAACAAAAATTACATTTTTCAGCTAAGTATCAAATTTATCTTAAGAAATTTTAATTAAGAATTGTTTATCTGATTTAGAAGATGATGGAAAGGAGGTATTTATTTTCCTCCACTTCCCATAAGGTGATCGTACTTAAAAAATCTGCTGAGATTGTCCAAGAAAGTGTGTAAAATCCTCATCCATCACCRAGAGCCCCTGGTCAGGGAATGACAGTGCAGTAAATATCTTCAGCAGCTGCCTTTTAATGTACAAGCTGTTTTCGGTAGGAATTTTCAGCACTCACATAAAACACACTGTCATGAGTGACTGCCTGTGCTCCAAAGTCATTACTATTGGGATGATGGAACATCTTTCAGCGAATAACCAAAAAACTTTAAATGTCATGTCAAGTGTGTTGAAGGCATTTTCAAGCCTTGCTCAAGGTTACATGAATATTGAGTAGGCCTGTTTTTAAAAAGTTTGAGATCYGTAAGAGGAACCACTCATATGCTGGTTTGGAGAGCAGTTGCTTGATCTGGAAGCAGGGGTGGGGAACAACAGAAAAAGGAATCTGTCTATTAATACATGCTAAACCTGAAAAACTCCTGCCTGGATATTAACTGAATGCAACTTGGTGTGACAGGCAATGCCAGTGATGTTTAGCAAAAAATAGTGAATTACACAATTTCTTGAAATCACTTAGCTGCCTAGAAATCCACAAAGGAAAGGAAAGGTATTACAATGGATAATTAAATTAAAATTGATTTTTAATACATTTCAAAATTAGAACAATTAAAAAAAATATGTAGGAAATGTAATTAACCAGATAAAACATTGCAAGACACTGAGASGTGCTAGGTACTCTGTTTTCTCTTTGACTCCAGTAAGAAAGRAGGATCCTGTCAGGCTAGATCTGTGATTTTGTAAGAAATATGGATGTTAATTTAATGAAGACATGTAAAGTCTATCACTTCCAAGGGACCGAGTCCACTGCTTTTGAAGTGATAATATATTTTGTCTTGCCTCTTTTGCAATCATTATTCCTTCTAGTACAKCATCTGCTTGTAAAATTTGTCTGATCAAGAGGTCTTTTTATATTACAGAATATTGAAAGTGAGTATTTTAATAGTAAAACAAGATTTGTTTGATTTGTCTTCTGCAGAGAACCAGAAAGAACAGCTAGAGAAGCCGTGTTCCCATCACAGTATCAGTTTAAATTCAACAAGAAGCCCAGTCAACAAAGAAGTTACATATGATGTGGAAACAAGTTCTAAGGTGTGGAACAAGGCTGTTGGAAGAAAGGAAGCCTGTCAAGGAGAAGGCAGCAAAGAAAAGAAAATAGATCGTATTGGRTCCCCTTCTAAGGGAGAAGCCATTCCAGAAGTAGAAGCTCTCTTGGCAAGACTGCGAGCACTATAGAATAATCATATATACAAGTTAAAAACAATAGCCTACACTGCATCTTGAAAGAAACAGTAATTTTCTGTTATTGACATTRCATACTTTTGAGTTCCTAACTTCTCTGTGGATGAATGATCTACTTCTAAACTTTGTTTGCATGACTGTACAAAACAATACCATAGTTTTGCATAATTGCAAGTTGATTTTTTATTATATGTTTTTACTTAATAAGTAAATACTTGAAAAGTATCAGAAGAAAACAAATATTAAATTATTCCAAAGCAAAATCCTTTTAGTGGGCAGGCTGCTGAGCACCTGTTTTGAGTGCTTCTGAAAATAGAAATATCTTTTAAGTATTGTTAAATCATCATGCCTGGGAATAGGGTCAATAAATAGCAGAAAAGGTATTCTTATATTTTCTACTGTCATTTCTATATTTAGGAGGTTCAAGCACCAAAARTGTATCATTATAGTGTCATTTACAATTTCAGTAATATACAGTATCAGCCGTATTCCAGTTGGAGTTCATCAAAGAGCACCAAAGCTTGCTGAATTATAGATGTATTTACCAAATGGCAATCCATGCTCAGTAAATAAAAAAATCTATGCAAATTATATACTTTATGTGTAATTAATATATCACTGCTTTTAAGGTTATTGTGATTATTATATCAAAATAATATATACAATTGCTTTGATTGCAAGGTTTTGCAATTGTGTCTTTAGTGGGGGAAAATGTCTTCACAGTTATTTATCCAGAATAGTATTTTATCTTTTCTCATGTGAATTAATATGTTTCTATAAAAGGAACATGTAATGGATAAGATTTTTTCAATTGGTTTTTCCCAAACTCATTTTCCAGTAGCCCATAAAGTCTTACTTGCTGGCACAGCAGGAGTCTTGCATGTGATTGCACCTCTTTTATCCCACTGTCACTGTACAGTGTTGTGTATTTGCTATTGTATTTATTAATTGCACATCAGAAAGAGTTGCTACSTATGTTACAGGGTAGGAAGCTACTATTAGTATCTTTGCTCCATTATTTACAGCTTCCTTATTATATATGTATTAAGTAGCTAATATCTTTCTTCTAAATTRCTTTATTTTTCTTTACAAATTGCTGAAAAATATGTCTTTCAATAAGAGTCAGTTACAYGAAACCAGTGTTTCAATGCTCCAGTGCTTTTTATATCCTTGTTTAAGTTGCCTTTGTACTTCCTGCACTAAACATTAATAAAGTTAATTAGAACTCGAAAACTGGGCCTGATTATACACACAGCATAGGGGGGTTTTCAGCCATCATGGGAATCAATCTCTTGTTCTGGGACTGTTGTAGCTGTCATTATACACTAATTACATTTCCCGCCTTAGCTTCCCAGAAGTCAGGGAGGGATTCAGAGCAGGCCTGTCAGATAGACATTTCTTCAGCTGCTCTTGCAAACAGTGGGCACAGCTGTCATATAGAGACACCTTTGGTAACTTGAAATGTATCTTGAATGGATAACTCAAAATACAGCAACTGATAGCTCTTCCACTGAGGCCTTCTGCACCTCCATTATTAATACTTACTACCCCTATTTAAAGGGTGCAGTAAAAATAACTATCTGAAAAGTCCAGCATGATTGGCTACATAAAATTTTAACATTTTAAACAAAAAGAAAATGCCTGTTCAAGGGGAAGAAAAGTTAGTAGTTCATTGGATCTCTTCAGTTGCTGAGGATGTGCTAAAATAGAAGAGCTAAAAGTAGAGAGCCATCTCTTGGGACAATGACCTACCGAGTGTAGGTGGAAGTACAAATTATTTTCATGGACACTGTAAACTTGTTCATTTGAATTAGTGGGTGGTACTCCACCACAGAAAACTGACAGTTCAGAACACTACTGTATGGTTGATCAAGCAAAGAAAAGTTACAAAAACCATCTACTGAGTTTTGCAGTGAACAAAATGCTACTAGAAGCAGAGCAYCTCCCTAATTTATCTTTAAAATTACAGAATTTAGGCTACATTTTTTTTAGAGTTTGGGAAGCTTTTAGAAATGTATTCCAGGGCTYTCAGTCCTTCTAAGATATTGTGCTCCTGAATTAATCCTTCCAAGCACACATCACGTTAATATGCAGAGGGTTTTTTTCTGTAACAAGGCAGATAAAAAGCTGCGCAACTTTTTAGAATCCATGTAAATACAGTAACCAGTTYCCCCCCCCTTCTGTGCTTCTTTGTATCATCATAACTTAATCTTCACAGAGTTCAAGTGCATGGTCCAGTTGAAGTACACAGTAAGTTTTCTTTCTACATTTTATCTTTCTTTAATTCCCATTAGACACGAACAAATACACAGGATTTTTTTGATAGGAAGAAAAGCTTGTATTGCCTAATGAGTTCAGGGGGAAAATAACTTTGAAAGTATTACAGCTGTAYTTATTTCTTTGATTTTATGTTTTTATTAAAGTATAAAACTCAGCTTGTAAATTATATGGAGTAAATTGCTTTGATTAAATTCTAAAATTAATTCATTTATTCAGTTTAAAATTTAAAGTTAATTCAATCTTAAAGTACTTAGGGTAGACCTTTAATGGCATGTGCTAGTCATTTTTAGTAGGGATCAGGTTTACTTGAACTCAGAGATTGAGCCTTGGACCACTTGTGTTAGATATGGACAAAGGTGTCACATAGCGTGCCCCACCCTCTCTATAATTCACACCTGAAAATTAAATCCCTATAAAAAGAGCCCTTGATTTATTCAAATATGACTGTTCAGACACAGGCATTTGAAACAATCTTGCAAGGCACGTTCCACTGTTTCTTCCCTACCTGAGCAGCAGACAGAAGGAAAAAACATCCATGGCTTTTCTTACCAGTACAACTGTAAAGGTCTAATACATCTTTTTGATTCTTCACATGCATATTGGATGACTTTTCATTTCACTCAGTAGAAGAATTTTGATTACTACATCAATTTTTGCTTCCTGTATACATCATGATCTAAATTCATCTGTAATATTCTAGTGTTTTGACCTTAGCAAGGTAGGAATGTTTGTGATCAGTCTCTTCAAGCTGCAGACAGCCAAGCATGGCACCTGACTCACAGGCTGTAGGTAATATCCCAGTGTGTGTAAACCCAGAAGGAAAAGTGGAGGAAGTGCCTTTATTACAAAAAAATACAACAACACCAGGACATGACTGCCATGAGTTTTGATACTGCTCTGGATTGGRCACTTTGTTAAAGAAATACAGACCAGCAACCTGAAAAAAATCCCTTATTTTTAGTTCCCAATTATTATGGCAACATTACTGCTTAGGAGACTCAAAGGACATGTAGGAAAAAAAATGTCTCAGATGCAGTCATTTCAAGGAGTTTTTGTCCAACATGCAGTTTTCCTTGTTTTCCCTCATACAACCATTCCTCAGCCTGGCCCATTCAAAGTCACACTCTCAGAACTGCAGGAGTTAACACTCACCAGCTTGAGGTGCTGCAGCCCTTCAGGCTTTCATAATAAAAGCTGAAAAAGACAACATTTACTGCTAACACTTTTCCACATCTATTTCTAATGAGCAGGACCAAATTATAATTTTTATACTAATCTTTCCAAGCCTTACAATACTCTGTAAAAAACTATAAAACAAATGGGCAACAAACAGGGGTCAATAAACCCCAAGCTATAGCACCTAAAACAGTATAATAAGCAAGAAGGGTCAAGTGAAAGAGCGCAGCAAAAAAGCAATTACATGACAACATTGTTTTCTCCAGAACAAAATAAAACATTACTATACCATTTTCTAATTTTTTTTTTCCGATGTGATGTGTGGGTTTTACACAACTGAACTGCAGCAGAAAAATAACTTTCCTTGAGTCTGGGGAACTGTTTGTTTTGTTTATTGAATAAAATATTAGACAAATTGCAGACTTTTTCAGTTTTTCAGTCCAATTTTATGCCAAGGTTYCTGTGTGTAAAAAAATTCTTAAAGTACCATCTGCTAATAAATTAACTGCAGCACTAACTAATGAACTTGGTTTACATTTTTTTAACATATGAAGCAAGCATATTTTCTTCCTTTCCAAATACACTTTCTCCATTGCACTATTGTGTGTTTTAGMTGAAGTATAGTATTTAAAATGGGGCTATACATCTCACTGCAAAARCATGGTTGATAAAGCATTTTGGTCACTGACAACACTGAAGAATATACAAGAGGTGTTCAGATACAATTTTTTCTCCCTCCCAGCTGCAGAGATAGCCATTAAGTTTTTTATATTAGCTAAATACATTTAAACCCCTCTGTGCTTCTACACCCATAATGCAGCTTTTTTCTTTTTGTGATCCATGCAATGGCATACACTGAAGAATTGTTAAGGGAAATATTTTCCAGCAGCATACCAAAAAGACACTGAGCAGATGACTTGCATGCAACAGCAGCCCTATATGCCATAGGAGGCATAACATTTAGAATGTAACCCAAACAGGCAGAGAAGGTATTTCATTCCACAGAAAGAAAATGGGCCCTTTCATYTAAATGAGCTTATTCCACTCCTGATACCAGAACTGTGTGTATTTTGGGAGGATAATGTAYCCCTATTTTTAAATCTGTGTTACATTAGCCAGAAAAAATAAACTATGGAAAGACAGAAGTGCAGAGACTGGGAAGCAGAGTTGATTAATGTGCTGCCTGATTTCRCTTCTGGGACCTGAAATTGCATCCAGTGCAGAATGAAGGAACTAGGGGGAAAAAACCCAGTCTCATCTGACATCTGTAAAGGTCACRAAGGAAATGATGGTGGGTGATCCAGAGTTGGTATGGCCACAGGTGTCTTGTCTTTTCAAAGCCATATATCAGAATATCCTCAGAATAGCAATGCTGTGGGGCATTGCAGTTCTTGAAGACCTCAAATAAATAAAAGTAAGGAAATGTCTGGCAGAAATAAGTATGAGCTCCCATAAAACCTGAGAATATTTTCATCTTAAATCCAAGCACCAGCCCTGCTCTTCTTCATTTTGTCAGCTAAAGGAAGAGCATGAGGAGAGAGGGGAGTCCACATGGTGGCCATACCTGCCCTGTGACCGAGCCAGACAATGCTGCTCGTGTCAGCTGCCCTGGCACAGTGAAGGCAGCACAGACACCACTCTGCCCTCCCAGCATTCCAGACTGTGGAAAGACACAGGAACCAGGGTGAGCAAATTGGCCTCTAATCATGGGATCACCATAGAAAGACCCCATGGCTCTAGAGCTACACATCAGGTACAAAAAAACAAAGACSGTCTTCTAAAACATTCAAGTGTCAAAACAGCAGAATGTGCACATATTCCTTATGTCTCGTAAAGACAGCCATTACATCAACTCTCCAAGTCTGATGACTCTGTGCAAGCTCCACAGAAGGAGCTTCAATTTCCACTTATTTTGGCTTCTTTGTTATGTATGGTTCTGCCCTTAATTGAAATTTTCAGTCCAAAGCAAGCCATATAAACTTTGCAGTCTATAACCGTTAGTTAAAAAAGAGGCTTTTGTAAAAGCTCTGTTTAATTTGTTGCATTTTAATGTGAGGGTTGTTGCACATAGTTGAAAACATGGAGTGCAACACTACTCTTTCCATTAACTAAGACAGAAATGGCAATTATGCAGTCTGTTGATTGAATTCYTTACTAACGAAGGGTACTTTCTGCTAATGGATAGGAAAGCAGTGCAATCCAGACAAACATGTCACCTTGACAGTGGAATGCAAGACCCATCAATTTTACTCACAACTTCTTCAGTAATGGATCTTGGAGCACAACCCATCAGCCCTGCTCCTGGAGCAAGTCTACAACCACTGAGGCAGAGGAACGACAAAAAGTGGTTTGAAATGAAAAATGCGATGAGAGTTTTCCACCCCTTTAGAAGGGAAATTGATTATGACAAATTTATCTCCAAGGTGCCTGGGCACTGCATTAGAAATACTTGGACAGAAAAAGTACAATCCTGCCCTGCAGTTGGTGGCACCTTGCCTTTCTGTGCTGCAGCAGCATGACAAAATAACCAGAGCTCTGTTTTCATCTCTGTCCCGGAATCCACTGACACTGGGGAGAGTCAGAAGGATCAGTAACTATAGCAGCATGAGAATTTTTTSTGCTTGGGGTAATGAGTTCCAGCCTGCAACCCCACACTACAGATTCATTGCTCAAGACTCTGGATGATGGTGGAGAAGAGCCAGCTTTCTCCCTGTCCCCTCCTTCTCCAGAAGGAACCAAATGAGCTCTCATTAAGTTTGGCTTCAGAATACAATTTTCTATTCCTTGATTACCAAATCCCCAAGCAGGGATTACAAGTTTTTATTTTTCKCAGAAGGACTGCACTACTGTAAATCTTTCCATTATCTAATAAACAGTTAAAATTCAATAACACCTAGGTAGACTGTCAAAATCAGCAGGCAAGAACAAATTAAGTCCTTCATGAAAGAGGCTATGCAGGATATTTCTTCCATTTCCATCTCCAATATCTTTAATACTAAATACACAAACCTATATTAAAGTTAGTATTGCTTTTAATTAGATAAAGCCTAGAAGATTCGATGTTCATCTTATGCCTTTTGCACCAATGCTTTGATTAGCACAGTCTCAGCACCTTGTCTCAAATAATTAACCTGTCCCATTTTTCAACTCAGAAGTCCAATATATGAACACAGATGCCCAAAACCTGATCCTGTGAGGTCCCCGGCATGTCCTCGCAAGTACTCATCATCCTCAGACTGCATAAAATTACTCTGATCAAAGGGTGACTGTAGCCTTTCAGGATCACGCCCTAATGAATAAAATATACAAAGGTGACTTGAGTGAAATCCTCTCCAGTGTGCTGACAAAGGTAAAATAAAATATTCCCCTTAGGACATTTTCCTGGCAGAACAACTTGACCCCTGTGTGACTGGCCTTCAGAAAGAAATGGATAATGCTCTAACTAACTAATTCATTCACTGAACTTTTGGGCAATTTTTCSCCAAATGATTGGCGTGTTCCACCACATATACAGCAGATACATCTCAAAGCACCATAAAGTTTTAGATGAGCATATAATACATTTTTAACTTCAAGCCCTTTCTATGCAAACTACACTGTTAATTGCTGTGGGTTTTATTTTGAAATGCTGCCTGTTTTCCAACCATGGATTTGGTTTTTGACAAACTTCTCCCATGCTGCACATCAAGCATTACCCCAGAAATTCAGCTTTGTCCTTGCTTGCTGATGAAATTTTACTATTATGTAGTAATTGCACTGCCCTGAACTCTCATCCCCCTGCAAATTTTATGTTTCTCCAAGGAGAATGTTTCTTCTTAAAGGGATATTATTTCATCGGTACAATGTGGCTCACYAAGCTTGCCTTTTGCCCCCTTGTTCTTAGACTTTAAAAGGAGACTCTAACAGTCTGATCCAGCACCTACTGAGAAGAAATCAAAGGCTCCTGTTGACTTCAGTGAGTGCTGGAGACAGCTCCTAAATAGGATGACTCAAAGTGCAACTCTAGCCTGGAGGCAGCTATACAGCTGATACTGTGGGGCTTTATTGTCTCATCGCTTCCAGCTCCAATCTGTGCATGAGTTTTTGGAGTATAATTATAATTTTCTTGCTGCCAACCCAATAAATATCATGCTGGATAGGAGAGTTGAATTACTGCCTGAAATTTTAACCAGCAAAAATGATCCTGTAATCAGATTTCTTATGTCACGCAGGAGTCAGGATTGTGTGCAGTTCTAATTTTCTTTAAATGAGCCACAATCGTAAAGACCACTCAACAGAAAACACATGGTCTGCGAGGCAGCATTCCAGTCAGTGGCTGAACCAACAAAGCAATGGAAGCAATTCTGGAGGCCATGTCCCTGAAAACATGGTCTCCGTGTTGTCTGTTTTGTCCCCCCACAATCTGTGCATGGGTGTATTGGCATAGGTAAACTTGTTTCAGGGATAGATTAACAGTTATAAAATGTGGGAACAGTGGGCCACTTCCTCAGCAGATTCTGAYTAAACACTCCTTGTAGAGTACTGGAATACCCAGAGGCTTTGTGAATTTGAGATCCACAATCCAGTGTTCATTTAAAACCAAAGTTTGTTAGCACACTTCTCCTGTCCATCYAACACTAACTCAGGTGTGTGTTCCTGACCAGCAGAAATGTTCCCTTCATGGCTGAGATCAGCCTTGCTGGACAGAACCATCTCTTATCTTCAAGGCAGGTCTGGTTATCAGTGCACAGCACCGTGCACCTCACTGAGAGCCCTACCAGCGGTTTCTGCCTTTGGTCATCACCAACAGGTGGAAGAGAGTTAATCGTGGCAAAGTTAAATTAACAGGAAATGCCTGACTTGTCTCATTCACATTCTTTTGACAGTAGCATATGTTCCTGCTTTACACATGAAAGCTTAATTACAGCATTTCAGGTGGCAAACCAGTTAATTATATAAAAATGGGGCCCAGAAGTCTGTGATATGACACCTCTCCATGCTTCCCTGGGAGATGTCATGAACAAAAGAAGATGTTTATTGTTAGCAACACCAGGCTGAGGGCTGCAGGAGAGCGTTGCCACTGAAGCCTGCGGTCCCTGTGCACAATCCGGCTATAATGGAGAGCAAAATGCATTCTATACAAATTGCTCTTGCTAATAACAAAAGTGAAAGGAAAGCTCTTTTTTGCCGGGAACAATACACAATCTCTTGTGCAGGCTTCATATCGCCTCACTTCAGATGTCACTGATGTAAAAATCCCCAACAGAGATTATCATTCATCTCGGCTTTTCTTTATCACTCATCACGGCTTTCCTCCTACACAGAGCAGGCCAATTTGAACTCTTTTAACTGAGTATGTGGGGAAGAGAGAAGCCAGTCTGCAGCCTTGACTATTCCCTCCTTCGACTAGAAAGARAGCCTGAGGGGACCAGCTCTGGTGTGGGCAGATGAATCTGAACATTTGTAAATGATTAGAGG